ACAGCCTGTCACCTCTGAGAGTTGACTTCAATGTTCACTTTTATAAAGGGAAGAATATACATATATATATATGTGTGTGTGTGTGTGTGTGTGTGTGTGTGTGTGTGTGTGTGTGTGTGTGTGTGTGTGTGTGTGTGAAAATATATAGAATATAGGAAAGAACTCGTTAGGTAAATAATCCAAAGTTATTTAGTATTTTTGTTATTATTTAAAAAAAAAATAGTGCTCGATACAAAAGTAGAGCATAAATATAATTATTTATTTAAAAATATGATTTCACACGCTACATAAGAGTTCTCATGTTTCAAAACAAGAGCCGAAAACTTCAAAATAATTATTTGAATTAAATTGAATTAAAGTACTAAGCTCTGTTCCATCTTCAAGCGAAATTTTTTTTGGGAATAACTTATTTCTAAAATTTACGCGTTTTATAAGTATATTCATTATTGAAATCAAAATTTCTATGGTAACGGCTAGAGCAATTGTCTAAACAAAATGGGCGTAAAGTGTTAATAATTTGTATCAATATCTCAGTTACATTCACAGATGTCAAGTCAGAGTAAGGTTGGGGTGTCTGAATTTAAAGCGGAAGATGACATCGTCTCGTCTGGTTAAGTGTTTATGGAGATTTATTTATTTTCTTATTTTATTTTTTATTTTTTTCTGAAAGGGTTTTGTGTATATAAAAACATTTGTTTTTTGACGACTTCATAAAAAGTTATCTTTTTTGTAGGGCATTTAAACTATTTATTAGGACTATGGAGTTTAAAAATTATTTTATTGTTTGTTTTTATGCTAATTATTCAATGCAAAAATTTGATGTCGGCAAAAAACTCCTGTCTATTGTGTAGTAGATTTTTATTATTTAGAAACTTAATAATGTGTACTTTTTCATGTAGGCATAAAGGGCATGGGTCATCCCAAGTTTTACAAGTTCTAGTTTTGTTTATAATTTTCCATTTTACTTTTGGTGTTTTATTCATTTCCTTCAAATGCCAAAAATATTTAGATAGAGATGTCTGATTTCTTTTATTTATATTGTTGAAAGAACACTTATGCTGCCTCCATCTGGTTTTAAATTCATTCTTCGTAGACCCGATGTATATCATATTAGTATTAGGACTCTCAATGGATACATTGGTATACCACAGATTTAACGCAGCATTTATTTTCCAATGGGCAGTCTTCTGGGTTTCTACAATCACATAATTTTTCACTATTTTTGTCTAAATTAAATGTTGGCTTTTTATTAATACTATTCAAGCATGGGTTTTTTTTTCAGGATTTTATTATTGTGTTTTTTATTATACTTTCTAGATTTTCAGTGCAGCTGTAACTTAATTTTAGGGTGTTTTTATTAAATATTTTGCTAAATCTACTATTGGTAGGAAAGTGTTTTTCAATTAAAGCTAGGAATTTCTGTCCTAGCTTAATACTAACCATTTGGTTGAACGGAGGGGTATACCAAATGATTTTTCTTTTCCTGTTTTTTTTTTTTTCTGGTTAGTACAATTGTTTCTATAATTGATGTTAGCATTTTTGTATCCACTATTTTTTAGGGCTGCGTGATAAAAGTTACTGTGTTGTTGGAATATTTCTTTATTAGCGGAGTTAATGCTGATTCTCTATTGATGAGGGTATATGTTTAATTATGGATGGAGGGTGGTTTGACTTCGGGTGTATATATAAGGGGTTAGTATTTAGTTTTTTATAAGGTGTGTTGTTTGTTAAATCTAAAGTTACGTCGAGGAAGTTTACCCTTTTCAATTTAGTACAGACTGTTATTTTTAAGTTTAGATTTTTAAATTCACTAAATATAATCTTCTTAATTTTCTCTATTTTTAAATTAGTAGAACTCCACACTACCATGAGCCCGTCATCTCTATACAGTCCAATGTCCTTAATATCTATTTCACAGTGTGCGGTCAAGTTGTACAGTATTAAAGACCAACAAGTTCGGAAGACTCTGCAGAGTCTAAAGATCCCATAGTGAT